ATGTACCTTTTGCAAAGCCTTTACAATGTCTTCATGGAAAACGATGTCAGACTAATTGGTAGGTATGTTTTTGGGACAGTGTAATCCATCCTTTCAGGTTTGGGTATAAATACCATTTTTACCTCTCTCCATTTTTTGGGGATATACCTCAGAGCCAACGAGGATCTGAATATACCCACCAGGTACGGTGTGGGTTCTTCCAGACCCCACTGAAGTAGGGCTGGATAGATACCGTCAGGTCCTGGCGATTTAAATGGAGAGAAGCTAGATATTGCCCATCTAATTTTTTCATCGTCTACAATGTGTTTGGCAGTTTGCCAATCATAGACAAATGAATTGTATTCTTCCTCTGCCTAGTCGGCCACGTCTGTGATAACCGAGTCAGGGAAGTGTGTTGACAGCATAAGCTTGTTGCTGTCTTCGAGGTTGGCAGTTTTTGTGCCATCCTCTTTGATTAGCGCACCTGTGCTTCGGTGTGGATCTTTTGAGAGAGCTTCTTAAAGCCTTCACTGCCTACGGAAAATCTTCTATTTCTTCACAGTAGGATCTCCATGCATCTCTCTGTTTTTGACTTTAAACATAAATGGTGTGATTGTGTGATCTGAATTATCGACTGTTGCATTTTTCGGCGCCATTGTGATACAGTAACGCCATCTTAATTTTATATATTTTGAGGGACACTTATTGTGAACAGATAGTTCTCCTTACCTCTACACTCCATTGTCTGGATAGATAGTATGGTATCTTTTATAACCTCTTATCTTAATATAAGACTTGGCGTATATGTCTCAGACTGTAACGGTTTTATTTTAGCCAACAAACTGAGGTTTGTAATGAAGTCAATTTTCATTACTATATTTCGGCATATTTAGTTTTATTTTGTTTTAGTCACAATAATCTAGTTTTATTCCAGCTGAGCGCTGAATTTATTTTATTTTTAGGGTACTGTACATATCAAATTTTCATTCTAGGATTTTGTAACGTTTACTATCAAGGGAAGTTAATAATTAAATACGAAAATAAATGTTCTCCTTAGTGAGCAAAATCAAAGGTAGAGAGTGTTGAAAATTAATTTATATCTCTTCTGTTTTTCCTTCGGATGTAATTCAATACCTGTTGTGGTATTAGCCAAAGAAGTAGTTGTTTTTTGGATGGGAAACGGTTGTTGGTATTTTATGTGATATTGGCTTTGAATTTAATTCATTTTATTTGAGTTTGATTTATTTTCTGGCCTTTTTGGTTCCACCTAGTTTTCTAACTGGGTACTACAGCGCACTTTGATTTTGCTTACTTAGAACAGATGGCGGCACCATTTCACTACTTGAATTCGTATTCTCTTCATAACCAACTTTATTGTATACTGGTGAAATGTGTAGCATTTGTTAATTCCATTAGAGACTGGAATTGAGAACCTATCTGTTTCTTGCTGAAGAGTCCTAATAAGGACGAAACCGGTCCAAGAATGATGTTCTACTTAGTGAGCAAAATTAAAGGTAGAGAGTGTTGAATAGTATATTACATTACGAGTGTGGAAAGTGACATTTTTCACACGAGTGAGAAATATTGCACGAGGCGCAAGCCGAGTGCGACTATCACACGAGTGTCGAAAATCACTTTTCACATAAGTGATGTACAATTTTTTTCCCACGACCACAAAATAATTTCATCAAAAAATGTAAAACCAGGTTATTATTATAATAATTAAAATGTATTCAAAAAATAATCAACAATAATCGTATTTATTCAATTTTCATATTTTCTAAACAAAAAAAAATAAAAAAAAAAAACAAACAAAAATTCTGGCCCCGCCAGTATTTGAGCGCGGTCGCTCGCCAGGTCTCAAATGGCAAAGTTGATGAGTTTGACGCTCTAACCATCTAAGCTAATAGGCCATGCTTCAATTTAATGATCTAATCGGTTATGTGTTTAACCAGAATAAAGAACAAACATATCTTAGTTATTTTAAAATTATTTTAATAATAATTGCTAAAGATAAATATTTAGGATCTAATTTACAACAATTTCAATAATTTAACAATCATATCGATTTTAGTATTAATATGGACATTACAAAGATCAAAATAGAAATTATGCATTTGACATTTTGTGACAGCTGCTGCGGAAAGTAGCATATTCGTACACGGGTGAAAAGTAAATTCTTATTCCTACGCGTGTGATATAGGGCACTTTCCATATAGTGTGATATGTGTCACTTTCCTAAGTGGTCGTAGGAAAAATTAATTTCTATCTCTGCTGTCTTTCCTTCGGATGTAATTCAATGCCTGTTGTGGTATTAGCCAAAGGAGTAGTTTTCTGAAGGGGAAACCGTATTTTATGTGATATTGGCTTTGAGTTTAATTCATTTTATTTTTAAGTTAATAATTGTTAAATATATAGTCAGTTGGGGGAATGTACATTTTTGGTTTCATTAGACTGATTTAGGTTTTGTACCTTTTATTTAGGGTGCACGTCACGGGATACAGTGAATTTACTGTCCTTTTTCTTTCGAACTGTGGCTCACAACGTTGATTTGGTGCAACGTCGCTACTACTTCTTTTCTGACTGAGGGAAGTCTTTTCTCGATCTCCAACGAGCTGGGCGCTTTATTGGTGAGAGCGAGACATTTTTCGATTCACGTTGAACCTGGGCACCACACTTGGGAAAGTGTAGATGGAGAGCACGAAGATTGGCTCAAAAAAGTATCATTCTGGTGGCTGCAGCATGAGCAGCTAAGTTGATTATTCTTTTGTTTATTTTTTTTATATAAGTAATAAAACCTTTTGGTATTTAACTTACACTTCAACGTTTCACAATTTCTGTTGGTACTATGATATACAACAGAAATTAACACGTGCTTTAACCGTTAAAATTTCACCCTTTTGCGCATTTTAATCCTTCGCCTTGGATCCAACTCTAACGCCGCATAAAATTACACAGTGATCACTTTAGGAAACATGATTTAATTTTGCGCATAGTTTCTGTATTAAATAGTTAGAACGTTATATCTTTTACTTAAATATATATATGTTTAATAACTTAACTGTGCTAGACTTATTTCTGTGTTCGAAACTAGAACGTTATATATTTTACTTAATGATGTACCTATTTATATTTAATTACTTAACTTTGCTATATTTTAGTTACTAGATAAGTAGTTTTAGGGAAACACCTATATCATAAGGTTTTGTGTCACATATTCTTTTTTTTAACAGGTTTATTTTGTCATTTTATTTTGTAACTACGAAAAGAATAGAGGAGAAATCACTTAATCCATTTACCGAGTTGATACCCTGATTTTGTTGTCTTTTATTCTCTCATCTTTTATTAGATTTAAGATGGGATTGTTCTAAGTTATTTAAGGCTCAGCTAAATCTAATATAATACAATATATTAGTAATCCCAAATTATTTTGTGATTACCCATTCCCATCTCAACTTGAGTAAACCGGAGCTACACGGTTGACATCTGGGATAACCTAAAGACTTAATACAATGAAAAGAAAGTTATAAGACATGCGACACTCTCTATATGACAGATATTAGTGAAGACCAGTCATAAAATTAACTTCTTGTGTATATAAAATTTATTTCTCCGTTAAAAATGTCTGTTTTTCTGATTCCACCATTGTCTTTCCATCTGTCTAACATAATTCCTGTTGGACTTATGTGCTTATTTCATATTCCAGTTTTCATTTTTCATCTCCTTCATCTACTAATTTAATGAACATCAAGAAAATCAAATATGTCTATTTAAAATCAATGACTATAATCATTTTTTTTTTATTTTCTAAGGTTCCCGACCCCTTTTCAACGTTCTATAATCACGCCCATGATCACATCTCTTTCCGAATTTATAGGGCTCAATTTTGTCGTGCGCGCTTTCGTCCTTTTTTTCCATTTTTCAAATCTACAAGAGAATCTGAGTTGAGCTTTAACATATACACCGCGACAAAGACAGTTCCGTAAACAATCCGTGGATGTATCCTGGATCCTGCACAATAGAAAGGACGACAACAGCGATATCCTAGATGGAGATTTTTTATCTAGTTATATAAAAGGTTCGATAAGTAGAATGAAAGAGCTCGAATAGTTACATTCTTTAAATTAAAAATAGAAAGAATCTGTTTGTTATTAGTTTAGCATGTTTTTACAAAACGAAGAAAAATAAGAGTTTTAAAAATCGGCATTTTGAAGAGAATTAGGGAAAAAATCAGAAAGTCGCGTTTCAAATAAAAAAATCTATTAAATTAAACTAAGTAAAAAAGTTTCTTGTTTTGGAACAAATAAAACATTAGATACAGTATATTAGAGTAATTTATACATCATCAGGTAAAATTAATTCTCTTAGCTTAAAAAGAAATGTAAATATATTGATGTTTTTATATAAAATAATAAACTCGGAAATTAATGATGATTTATTTATTTTCTACAGAATTATTAATTCCAAATGGCACAGTCTTAAAGCTAAAACAAATAAATTATAAGTATATATACATAAAAAAAAACAAACAAACTGGATATACAAATATCAAACATTTCAAAAATTTTAAAATACATTTAACGTCTAAAAAGTCTAACAACATACAAGACAATGGCAAGACAATTAGAAAAAAAAACCTAACATTTTAAAATTCGAGCATCCTCTTTAAAGATAACAACGTAGAAGAAAGTCGCCTAATTTCGGATACCATTTTGAAAAAATGCCGATATTTGATAATATATTCTTAAATAATTATTTTGTGTGTATGGGCTGATACTTACTGTTATAACCAAACATTTGCTAACATCTGGGCGTTTAATTACTTTTAATTTTTACAGAAATAAAAACTAAACATTTTGTCTCTATTTTTTATTAAAAAAAAAATTGGCTCGTAATTTCGGACATACTGTCCTATATATTTTGTATACTATGTATTTTTTCAAATATCTAAACAAAGTCACAAACATAGGTTTTCTTTTTGTCGGAATTAGCACAGTCTTCATGGGTCCATTTATAGCATTTCATGCAACATATCCATCATCAGCATCTAAATCCGAATCATCATGAAGTACTGGCTCATCTTCCGAATCCGAAGAGGATTCGGAACACTGTTTTTTTGATTGTGGCTTAGGTTTCTTTTTTATTTCTTTTTGAACTTCTTTCTGAACTTTCTTGGTGTTATTTTTTAATGTAGTATTTAAGGTTGTTTTTTTTCCCTTTCCTTTTAATGCTTTCCTTCTTTCCTGTTCTCGTAGACTTTCCTCAAGCTCATCTTTATAGGGTATACTGGTAATCACATAACTCGAACCCTGTCTTGAGTTCCTACCCTTGTTAGATTGTGTTATGCTACTACAAGAGGGCAATGGATTAAAATCTTCTACTCTTACAATATTAGTTTCTGAAAGACTCTTGTTTTGTAAACTCAAGTTTCTTTCTTCTAAAGGGGACGGCGTTCTTTTATTTGTCATTTGTCTTCGTGTTGTGTCAGGAACATTAACTTGTGCGTTTTCATTATGTGCTGTATAGCACTGAGTCTCTCTAGTGATGGTGTCCTTTCTCTTTGCCTTTCCATTACGAACTCACTTTCTGAGAACTTGTTTCTGTTATATAGACATATGCCAGATTTACGAAATCCATTTACGGAAATTTCGGCGGTTGCACATTTTAAATATTCTGGGCACATCAATTAACAGACTTGAAAAGAATTTATCGTTCTACCTGGATGTTGTTTCAACCACATTTGAATTTGTTGCGAATAGTAGGTCTTAAAGGGGGCCATGAATGATAAATCTAACGGCTGCATTTTATGCGATGTGTGTGGCGGAATACACAAAATGGTGACAAAATTTTTGCGACCAATTCCTATAAAGTCAATATTTCTGGTATGACTGTAGGACCCATCAAGGAAAAGCAGAACCGGGTCCTCACGAGTCGGTTTTACAAAATTAACAAAATGCTGTAACCACTGGGCAAAAATGTCTTGCTGTATCCAACCGGACGGGTGACAAGCCGCAATAGACCCAGGAGGTGCGCCATCTAGCAATTCCGCCTTCATGTTTTTCCTGGGAAATACGAATAAAGGCGGAACAAATCCACCAGCCGCATTCATACAAAAAACAACAGTGACTGAGGCACCCCTCTCTGCAAAAGTAATCGCTCCATCTTGCTTTTTCCTTTCAGAATTATTACACGGGTATTTTTTGACTGCACGGTAGTTATTCCACTCTCGTCGATATTGTAGACTCTTGCAGGATTATGATTTATTTTTTCCATTTCAGGTTCAAGTAAATTGAAAAATTTACTTACGTTTTCAGGAGTAAAACCTGTAATCTTTGCTTTTGAAATTCGTTGTGGCTTTCTAAGGCTTAAAGTTGGATGTCGCTTGAAAAAACCTCTTAACCATTTTTTTCCTGCGGCACCAGTCTGTTGAGAAAATGGATGACGGATTCCATTTCTTAGGGCTAACTGGTAGGCTAGTCTTTTGATGTCCCCTGCCCTGCGCCATTGCCATAAAATCGACTGTCCATTTCCAAGCAATACACTACCAAGATTTCTTCTAATTCGCTAGAAAGTACCGGTTTCCTTCCAATTGACATCGCAATTAGCTCTTCAGGGGTCTTATTAGGCTGCTTAACATAATCTTCTAGGGTTGAATTGGGAATACCAAATAATTTAGAAGCTTTGAGATACACCATTTCTTTGGCCCTGACCGCATTTACGGCTAGTTTCATCTGATTTGGTTCCCATTTTTTATGTTTTGTGTTACTTTTGGGCATGTTTACCTAAAACAAACATTATTTTAGGTTAGAGAAGTAAATAATAATCGCTTACCAACAAAAAATAATGTTTGTTTCATATTTCGGATATTTGATGTCCTAATTTCGGATACCCGAAATTAGGAATCCTCGACTGCTTTACGTTTTTAGGTTAGGATCCTATATCTTTTTTATTAATTTATATTTTTTAATTATGAAAAATTGCACACTTTTATTAATGTCTTAACTTACCTCGCACACGTTTTCAAGAATATAAAAGCTTGTTTCATTCAGTAAACACGGATTACAATAAAGCGCCGATAAAAACTCGGTTTGGATAATTTATACATATGGTGCTGCCATCTAGTTAATTGCAAAGCAAACTGTAAAATTTGCATCTAGGCTAGTTAAGCACCATTACAGATTTCTTATGAACATGTATCTGATTTTTAAATACATGTGGCCTTTGTAATACGTCACTATCCGAAATTGGGAAACCATCCGAAATTAGGCGACTTTCCTCTACAATTAAAAATATCACATTGGGAAAAGTGCTTATTGTAGTTGCACAAAAGCTTATTTATGAAAGCACTTTCTCCATAGTTTGTGCGATGGTTTTTTTTTTTTTTTTTCAAAGAATAGTTGTGACTGTCGAGTACGCCTTAACGGGACATCGAAATTTACTTGAGATAATAATTTTTCACAAATAATAACTCCATTAATTATTTTGTAAAGAAAGAGTAACATTGCATCCCTACGTCTCCGTTCAAGAGTTTGCATACAACTTAACAAATATTTATAAAATTTATTTTGAACTCGTTCAATTCGGTTAACATAAGTGGCTTGAGACGGAGACCAAACAGTACTGCAATACTCTAAAACACTTCGGATTAAACCATTGTACAAACATGTTATTGCTTTTGTGTCCTGGATGCGTATTTCCATAGTATACTACTCTGCAGAGCAGGCCGCTGTCTGTATCGTGGTAGGCTATGTACCATCTTTTAAAGTTACGCCACATTACAATTGCTGCGTTTGAGAATCCACATCGGATGCATCTGAGATGACGTGATTCAGTATACGTAAATGTAATGGGATAGATGTGTCAGATGTGGATAAAAAACGCTTGAGATGTAAAAAATGCATCCGATGTGGATTCTCAAACGCAGCAATTGTGTACTGCGATGCAGACATCGCTCTGTTCTGTAAAGTAGTATAATATGTAGTCGCCAATGGCGTATTTATAAACTACAAACTCTATTCGATTGCAGAACTTTGATTCGTTGTAGGTACGTATACTTCCTTTACTTGGAATTAGCAGTACCTATTTTATAACAGGTAAATGAAGTATAAATGTTTATTGCCAATAATGCAATTTTATTACAATAAACATTGAAATAAATATTATAAAATATGTTGAAATAAATATAATATAATATAAATTACTTATTTATTATATTATAAATTAATATTAGGTTAAACGTTTATTAGTGTTTAAAAGTACATTTTGTAATAATTATTATCTATTGTATTTGTGGCACCGACTTTAACAGTTCTCTACAATTAAAAACTACCAACATTAATTTAGTAATATTAAAATTTTCTGATGGGTGCACATAATGGTTACTACAACGCCCTTGTGATTCATTACAGCAAGATCTCTGTAAGTAAAGAGTTAGGTAATTAATAGTTTACATATTAGAAACAGAAAAACATCATGATGCATTTTAATTTTAATAAACAATAAAATAAACGCTGTTGCTAGGTACACGCTAAAGTGTACACAAATCAAAAAATTATATACACGCGAAACGTCATATTGCTGTGGTGGGAGGTGTTTGTGTAAATGCGTGTTGTTTGTTTTCGTAGTATTTTATAAACCTTAGAAACAAATTTCACATACATGAACAAATAATAATAGTACCGTGACAACAAGAAAATGAAGCAACGAATTCTCGTAGGGCGAAGCCGCCACCACCAGAAAATTTCAATCCATATCTGGCTACGCCGACCGGTATGGACACAGCTCACCTACTCTGTCAAGACGTTTCGTAAATTAAATTAAGTATCATAAGCTTTAATGTAGGGGAGAGTATGGCACAGAGGACCACTTAAGGCCAAAAATCGTCATACTCCTTTATCACTATTGATAAAAATTTCACTATGTAAGATACTGGGGCTACACCTATGCGGTATCGACTGATTCATATACCTGTACAAAATCTTACTTTGTATTGATTCTATTTTGAAAAGTTTGACTGTATGTATTCGGTCCTCTCGCCCAATACCTTGGGGCACAAAGGACCGCTGCGTTACTTGTATGTAAAAAAACTAATTCCGAATTTAATGATGAGAAAAAACAGGTTTTATTGAAAAACGAACCACAAAACACAATAATAATGGTTTATATTTAAAATAAAACGTTAATGCTCATTTTTGACAAAAATAAACGCTAGGTTCTTATCTTAATCACATTTTGCACATAGGAACTGATCGTCATCTTCTGATGCACCTGCACACATTTGGTGGGTCCAATTTCGGCAAAACTGGCATTGAATCCACCCTTCGTCAGGATTGGACTTTAAAAATTTTCCAACACAATATATGCATTTTGGATTAATTTCATCATCTGATTCGCTAGAATCGTCATCCAGCCTCAGTTGTGTTTGAAGTTTCTTTCTCTTTTTTGGTAAACCGTGGCTATTTTACCGACTTTTTCCTTTTCCAGAAGCCGATAAGCATTTTCTAATAACCTGCTTACTTTTTTCAGAATTCTTTTTCAGTGATACATTTCTCTTTTTTTCTTGAATTTCGGCTTCTAGAGAGTCTTTAAACGGCGTTGCTGTTAATTCTTCTGCTGTTTGAGCTTTCCGTTTGGTATTTGGTTTTCCTTTTCACTTTGGCTTGGGTGAAATTGTAGCCAATATTTTTTCAAAATCATCTCCTGATGGATCCTTGGCAGTCGACGGACCTGGTGTTGGTTCAGAAGTGTCCATTTTTCGTGATGTTGGTGCATCTTTGGTAGTCGATGGACCCGGTACTGGTTCAGAAGTTTCCATTTTTTGTGAGGTTGAGGGTACTGGTAACATTAGTCCTAATTGAACAGTTTCGTCCTCTGGGACTAACTCTGGGTTATTATCGAGGATGTGACTATGCTGAAGCAGTGGTTCTGCATTAAGTTGATCATTCTCTCTATTATCAAGATCTGCTGTCACTTGTGGATTCTCAGTGACCCACGAAGGAAGGAAGTCAGTATCCGAAAATACATCAGGCTTTAGCGGACAAATACCTGTTACATAAAAACCATTGACGGCTTTTTCTAGAGTGGCAACTTTTAAAAATGCTTTGCCAAAAATCTCCATAACATCATAGATTGATATTCTTTGAGCTGGGTGATTTGAAAGCCATTTATCACATTCTCGCGCATATTGACCTTTTAACGGTCCATAAAAAGAACAGTCAAGCGGCTTGCATGATCATGAGTATGGCATGGCATGGCATGGCATGGCATGGCATGCGATGGCTGGAGTGATTATGGATTATCAACAACACTTTTCTATTTTCGGATGCACGTGCGTGTTTAGCAAAGTGTTCTAAATATTTAAGAAATTGCTCACTATCCATCCATCCGCTACTATTTGCATATCCCACAGTTGCAGCAGGGCAACTCTTCATCAATAAT